ATAACAAGTTTACCATCATTTTTACAAAATCAACTAACAATGTTGTAAAGATGCAGGAAATGTCAAACAAACACTTTTACGTATCTTATTAGTTTAATAATGAGACTGTTAACATGCCTAAGAATTGAATCTGAGGAAATGTGAAAAATATGCTGAAAAGTGAAAAAACAGCATAACTTCTACAATAATGGCCCGATCATGCTGATTTTCGAACTTGACCTGCGTTTTATGAATATTCATCAGCTCTGTAAATATAAAGCCAAAAAGTAAAACTGCCCTCCACTTATCGTGTTTACAAGGAAAGTGCACGGCGCCGGCATCGCCATCGCCATCGGCATCGCCATCGCCATCGGCGACGGCGACGACAGACGCAGGTGATGGCAATATGTACAGACACATCTGTGTCTGTACATAAAAATCACGGCTTACAAAAGGTAAAAATGAACATCACATATATTACAAATAACAAAACACATAGTCACTCCATCAAAATCATGACCCCAATTCCTAATGATTTCAAGTCGCAGCCTCAATAGTAAGCAGATATCCTATTCAAACAAAAAGCTGGCAACTCACCAAATTAAACAACAGCCCCACACAGAGAGAAACAGATAGTCAATTAACAAAAAACTCATTTATTCTATTGACTAAATCTTTAGAAACATAAGAATTCCGAATCAACAAATTGTAATAGTTTTCCCTTAAGGAAAAGTAAATAATTGATAGTATTTTGTTTGAATTGTTCTACATAAAATTCTGCCAATATAAGATTATTGTATTTTTTATGAATGTTGACAGGGGGTGGTGGTGGAGGTGGTTGGTGGCATTTCACTCAACAAAGACCCAAGTTTTAGACTACATGGGGGGGGGGGGGGGGGGGGGGGTGTAAGGACAGCCCGAGATTTTTGAAAAAAATTTTTGGAGATATTTATTAAGCATTAGCCCTTTTCTTTCTCCCAATCCATTAGAGGTGTATTACAGGTGTATCACTTTTCCTTCAGTAAGCATCAAGACAAGTCCCACAGACAGTATAAATAACCTGTTTGTATATAGTGTAGGCCCTCAACAGCTGCCCTCCACCCCTTCCAAGTTGATCCAGGGACTAACAGTTCCGTGTACTAAGTATGGTGGACTCTCTTAAAAGCAGTGCCAACTAATTACCTGATGGTCTCCCCGCCTCCGCGCGTGCAGTCGTTGCATGGGCCTAGCAATTAAAAATATCGAAAAAGCTTCTGTCACCACTCAGTAATAAACTGCATTTCACTGTTTTTGTATAGAGGTCTAAACAGCACCATTTCTTCCCTGAAGAAATATGTCACAGGGTTTCAGCAAATGATATTTTACTGGACTATTCCTTATGCTATATAACTACATAATAGTGGTGCTTTTAACTTTCTCCTTCATCTTGGGATTGTTTTACAGTGACATGATGCTCATTTTGATTTCTTGGATGATGTTGGCTTGGTTTGTGTACAGGCTGCTGATAGCACTGCTGCTGACTTGTTTTTTTCCCCTGATTCTCACTTTTCCTAAACTGGGATTGCTCTTTAAATTTTTGATGTTGATGTACAGTACTTCCTTTTTCATGAGTCTGCTTCGGATTTTGACCTTTATTGTGTTGTTGTTGCTTGGCATCCGCCTCCTTATCACCTTCTGACTGCCTTTTTATATGTGATTGATTTTTATTTTTTGCACTTGTCTTTTTCTTTGCTTGTTTCTGTCCTGATTGCCCACTAGATGGCGATGATGCTGTATTACTAGCTTGTCTTGGATTGTGCCAGAATGCGCAGTCAAAGCCTGGAGCCTGATAGCTAAAAGATAAAATATTATAAGATAAAATAAAAGGAAATAATAATAATAATAATAATAATAATAATAATAATAAAATAAAATAAATGATTACTTTTAAAAAGGTCATACAAAAGTTGCAGAAATTGACTCAATAATAATAATAATAATAATAATAATGATAATAATATTAATAATAACAAAAACAAACTGAATATACATGCATATCTCATGGTTAGAGTAAGAATTATCAGCAAGCATAAACATCATTCTTTTCTTTCTCATTATATCAAATGATCGATACATGTATAACAGTAATTCTAGATGTGTGCTGAGGTCAGAAACACATAATTGTTATCAAAGTTCTGCAAAATATGGAAAATAAATCATACATGTCTTCATTATTCATGTATATGAACCTAGAGAACATGGTATATATACATGTTTGTGTTATTTACCCAGTCACTGGTGACACAAATTATGATGTATGCTAAAATCAAGCTGTAAACATGTATGAGTCACAGGTACCATTTCAAAATAATTTTTTTTGGAAAAATGAACTGAATAGACAAACATTCTCTCTATCCGTTTTTTTTTTTTTTTTTTATAAAGTAGCTGTTTTCAACAGCTTTTTTCCCTCATTTTTTGAATTTTTTTTTTAAGTTGATTGAACAGGTCCTCCAATTAGTGATGATCTTAACTGTTTACTATAACTGATAAATACAAGTATATTTAGTTATTTTGAATATTATTTTCATGGAGACAAACTTTTTAAAAAATATTTACCTCCACCCTAAAAAAATTAATAAAATAAAATAAAATAAAATAAAATAAAATAAATTACTGGGGAACACAATTAATATTGGCATAACCAGGGTAATTATATAATCACTAATGCCCTCTGTGTACTTGAGTACCATTTCATTAACCAGTACTACTATTTCAAATAATGGATCTTTTAAGAAATAAGTGATTATCAGTTGAAATTTCAAGCGATAAAACATCAGGATAATCATACCACATACAACAAACAGATAAAAGCTTTCTTCTGTCAAGGCAAAGCTGGGCTTCGTAACTCGAAAGCATCACGAACTGTGGCTGAGCGCAAGCATGGAGATTCACCTCTATTCCATTACTCAGGCTTTACTCGCCCCGTATAACAGCTGCGAAATGAAAGGTGATACCTCTACCGCAATTCGTGATGCTTTCGAGTTACAGAGCCCTGCTCTGCTCTATTTATTTAAAGTGCATGTGAACAAACATCTGGGTTAATAAATCTAACTGTGAAAATTGACAAATGCAAATATCCTTAAGAGATCTTCAGTTTTAAATATCAACACCAGCACACTATTCAGGTCATTTAATTATTCTCTGACTAACGCTCCAGGTTTATTTTAAACATGAACATTAACTCAATATTCAGACTAAACACATTTAGGCCAAAAAGGCCACATGCTATAATGTCATTATAAAGCATGCAATCACACACAGGTGACACAGGTAATGATCTTCACACACACTCTTCACCTCTATTTTAATCTTACCCATAAACAAGTTACTCAGGACACATTGGGGCTATCCCTGTTGTTTTCCCTGTGTAACATATATATCCCTCCACTCTGTACATCAAACAAACGTGGCCTCAATTTCTATTTACAGTAGTTGCTCAAGCAATTTGATGGTGTGATCCATCCAAACAAATAAATTATTTTCTAAAATTATTTTTTCTTCGTTTGTACAATTAGATCAAACATAAAAATCATGGGACAGAAATTTTTACTTGTTTCGATCATTCAACCATGTCGTCCGCAAGACTCGGTGATTTTTCAACCCAGTTAGGTGCTTTTTCTGTGGGGGTCCTTTTCTAAAACATGCCTTGGGCTTCTGTTTAAGAAGGAAGCTTTATGGTCTGAAATGCAGTAATTTTTTTCCCTTCTAATGAAAAGGGAAATACAATAACCTAATTCAGTATAGAATTGTGTTATGGACAGAAAAATACAATAATGGTTTCTTTTCACAACATGTATCTTAACAGAGATACATGCATTTGCACGATTCCTACATTTCAGTGTCAAACTACACATCCTATTAGGGGAATGACCTTGTTAGACAATGAAAATATTGTCAAGAAGTGCACAATATATTTACAGATAGACATAACTGGTGACAAATTTTTAAGAGGCTATATCATTTCAGAAGGAAAAAAAATTTCACCGAAAGAAAATTACATAGGAATGGCCCATCAAAAAAAAAAAAAAAAAAAAAAAGTCTGAAAAATCATTTTAATTTTGAATAAATGTCTGCATCTTAATAAATTTTATTATATAGTAACATAAATAAGAAATGGAGGTGAAAGCTAAATAAATTATGATACAGTAGTGTTTGCTTTGTCCTTTTAAATAATTCATGATGATATTTATTAAGAACCAGATAATGCACACAACAGTACTAGAAAACATAAATATAACTCGTATTTAAATTTGGCAACATGATGTTATGAAGAGTGAGAGAACAAGAGAGAGAGAGACAGAGAGAGAAAGGGGGGGGAGGCAAGAGCATTGTCTTTCCATGCTTCAATATAAAGAACTCCAAATTCATAATTGACTACTCTCTACCATGGCCGCAAAAATTATGTGCACTTTTCTCCAATGCCAATAAATGTGCCATGAATGTTAGCCAGAGACATATTGCTGAATATCTCACGCAAAAATATTCTGTGGTCCTTGTAGAAGGCATAAACTGACCCCCCCCCTCTTCAACTCATTCTGCCATACCCCCAGCCACACACAGACCCTTATTTATTATAACAATAATCTTGTCCAAGCCATGTTCTAACAACCCCCTCCACACACACACACGCATGCACGTGCGCGCGCGCACACACACACACACACACACACAACTAATGGTATACAAACAAACAAGTACACACACATACATTGTACACTTAGTGTCACGCACACAAACAACAATGGTTATTTTTTCCTAAAACTCTATCTAATCAAGATGATAATTACTATTATAGTAGTAAACAAAACTAATTGTCTATGTGAACAATGATAATTTTATTATCAAAACAAACAATAGTGGATAATCAGGCACTACATAATAATGTATACTGTGACAAATATTTACATAAACATGTTCAATATATTTATGTGTCCTTGATCAACATACATACGTAATCAAGCAGTGTAAATATCGGTAGTAAACAAGTATAAATGCACTCTTTGGGAGAGATGTGTGAAATAATCAATGATGAAACAAGAACCTCACTTAGTCTACAAGGATTCTGGGTACAATTTCACAAAGGAACTTAAAAAAAGTCATAAAAGAACAAAACTTACTATCCCAAACGAGAATTGTTCACAGGTCAATCAACACCCAATAACCCACAAGCTATCAGACTGATAAAAAGGTCTTGTGCCAAGAGCATAACAACTGGCAACAACAAATATATTGGGAGTGAATGTAGATTGTGTTAGATGAGACCAATGATTGCGTTTGGTGTGATATTGTTAATTGTGTAAGATGAGACCAATGATTGCGTTAGGTGTGATATTCTTAATTGTGTATTCTTAATTGTGTTCGGTATGATATTGTTAATTGTGTAAGATGAAACCAATGATTATGTTGGGTGTGATATTGTTAATTGTGTTAGATGAGACCAATGATTGTGTTGGGTGTGATATTGTTAATTGTGTAAGATGAGACCAATGATTGTGTTAGGTGTGATAGTGTTGTGTAATATGAGACCAATGATTGTGTTAAGTATGATAGTGTTAATTGTGTAAGATGAGACCAATGATTGCGTTGGGTGTGATACTGTTAATTGTGTTTCATAGAACTATAAAAAATGTTAACTTTATTCATCTATAACTGTATATATGTGGTTATAAATAAAAATGATTCAGACACTTTTTCCCAGTTACTAGTAACTAGGGGTATAATTTATATGAAATGGCAGAGTATTATCATTTTGGTCCATTACATAATAAATAACAAGGAACAATAGTAAATGTGTGACTTTGAATAACTGCATGCCTTCATTTACCACTTACCCCTTCATACTACAGCCATTATTGTTAATAAGATGGTGGTGGTGTGTGTGTGTGTGGGGGGGGGGGGGGGGGGGTCGTTCAATGCATACATGTCAGTGCACAGAAAAGCCAATGTAACCTTGATTTTTGGACAAATACAGACCCAACCTTTAGCTACAACAAAATGCGTCACTATTATCATCCTCAGTATTCTGTAGTACTAAGTCCAGGGTTATCTAATCAAGGACACTGACGCGTTAATTGATACAATAACATCAACATGTTTGTTCATTTATCAGTCTAAGGTGAAAGGACATCCGCGGCTTGCTTCATAAAAATTCCCAGAATCAGTTTTTAGTTTCAACCTGACAGATGGACGTGGGAGGGAAAGAAAGGAATTGAAAGAGTGAGCAAATTTGCAAGTTAAGTGAGAGAGTGAATTAATGAGGGAGAGTAATGGAGAGAGAAAAGAAGGAGGCAGGAGCCAGAAAGGGAAATACATTCTAATTAGTAATGAGAGAGACCATAATTGAAAAAGGGCTATTTTTCACATCAAAATTTATCAATATACAACTAACCATAGCAATCAAATACATCTAAGCTGTCTATATTTATACATGACGTGATAAAAACATCTAACCATGGCTTACCTCAGGACTCATAAGTCTGAGAATCAGATTAAAAATGTATACAAATTCTGTGGACAGAGAGTCACATCTTTAATTATTCCAGTATGCTATATAGATTATATTTTCAATGTGAAATACATATCATAGCAACAACAATAATAATGGCACCTTGACAGTAAACAGTACATTGGCATGTTAGATGTGTCATAATTAAGAACCTATACACCTGACAAAAACAAAGCTGATCTCATATATAGTACATGTACCAGCAGCGTGTGCGAGAAACCACACAGCTGTTCCAACTATAAGGTTATTAACACGATTCAAAAACAACAACAACATCAACAACAACCCTGGATCAGGTCTTCAATAACCTTCACCCTATGGCAGATGCGGCTCTGTCTGTTAAACCTATTAGAAAAAAAATTCAATAATGTGCCTGGAATACATGACTCAGGCTTTCAGCTTTTGGAAAATACACATTAAAAAGAAAATATTAATAAAATATGTAACATGACAGTGGCTATGTCATCATCGTGACTGAAAGAGATCTGATGCCTGTGCCTGCACTCATTTTTCCATTATCAAACACAAAGTTCACAGTTATTTGTCACAATGTTTAGAATTGAATCGTGTCATGAGCAATAATTCATGAGAGAGAAAGAAAGAGAGAGAGAGAGAGAGAGAGAGATTGAGATTATCTCTGGTTAACTGTTACTGTGAATATGAATTCTGTTAAACAAGGCCAGAGAGTGACTTAAGAAAATCCATTCAGTTGTATGAAAATCAACATCCATGCACAAAATTATATCAGTATATCCCAGATGTCAGCTATCTCATGTTGTTATTATTGGCAGAAATTGAATGGAAGTCACTGTTGTTATTAGCAATTTTTGCCAAAAAAAAAAAAAAAAAAAAAAAAAGGAGCACAATAGAGATAACACAGTCACTCTTTTTCCAGAAATAAAGACAACACAAAATGAAACAAAGGAAATTTGTAGAACTGAAATTGCAGCTTTAACAGCTGTTTGGTGTCATACTTTCTTAAGCTTACACACATTTAAGGTCACATTCACAACTTTAAGTTGATCCCTGAACTAACAGATCTACATCAAAATTGCCCAATCCATTTGAAAGCTTGCTGCATAATCCATGAAGGGGGGGAGGACTATTCAGTATCTGGTAGGGGATTATGCAGCAAGCTTTCAAGTGGATGGGGCATATTTGATCTACAGATCAGTTAGTCCATGGATCAACTTGATCTGAATGCTCTCTGATATTTCCTTAAACATTTTTGTTGGTTCTTGACTGGCTTTTTTATCATTAAGAAGTATATACTAATAAACGAAACAATCTGGGGATATTTATAGTTACATGTGCATGTGGATGGATGGATGGATGGAAGGACAAAAGTTTGGACTGATGTCAGACGGGCAGTTACACATCCCAAAGCAACCCAAAATTTGTGCCTTATTTTCACCTACCTGTAGGTCAATTAATCATGTTTTATGTTATAGATAATGTGCTTAAATTGAACCTGGTGTGAACTCTTCTTAGTGTAAATTCTAAGGTATGCATGATAATTCCGAGATAAAATGGCAGCAGTTGTTTTCTTGTTTTACATGAATATTTTACAACAACTGAAGACTTAAAATTTTGTTTATGAAAAAAGACAATTATGAAGAACCAGATATCAACAGCTGAACTAACAACATGCCATTTGCTATTTCTTACCTAGTCTGGCATGGGTCACAGCCAGAAACAGCTGCAACATTGATTTTTGATCTCTGTGAAAAGAATTACTCACCAATAGGTTTGCCAAATTATAGAGCAATTAGAAGTAAAGGCATTTCATGTCAAGAAATATCTTGACTCCATTAAAAAGAAAAAAGAGAATGTAGCACTGGAAAACAACTTTAAATTTATTTCATCGTTACTTGTTAGGAAAATTTGTAGTAGCTGGTCAATTTGTGTTTCTTTACATTTGTATGAATTAAAAATATTGATATATAAAAGCATGACATAATGACCTTCAATAAGAGTGTATTGTCTTTAGCTACATTAAAAAGATTTGGGAAACAGGGGATTTTACATGCATTTTGTTTCTGTTAACTGAATTTTTTTTTTCAGAAGATGATGCTGTTAAAACACCTTTCTGAACATGCTTCTAGCATTCTCTGATAGAAATTTTCCTTTGTCCTTTTGCATTTGGAATCTGCCAGCATTTGAACAGCTTTATTGTCATTTATTGACAAAGATCTCAGAATGCTAAAAACACAGGATTGGGTATCACAAGAAAAAATAGGCCATTAATTGATTTTTATATTGTGCTAGGACAAAAATAATGGAGGATTCCCTGTAGGCATTTTCAATATTAATTCTTAGTGGAGGGGGAGTGTAGGGGAAGTATGCCAATTAGCTTAATGCATGCGTGTCAAATGATGCATTGGTCAAAGTGACACGTATTCAAAGTGCTAATAGAATTGTCAAGGTGAGGAGTGAATCATTTCAAGAAGGTTGGCGCGTTCAGAGCCAGACTAACTTAAAACAGAAAATAATGTACTATACATTACACCACTAGAAAGACAGCCAGGGGTCTGTTTTATAAAAAAAAAAGGATCTTTAAATAAGAAGGTGGTCTAAATTTTCAGACCAAATGAAAGTCTACATGTACTTTGAGCGCAGATAAATCAGTATGCGTCCAATCAAATGAAATATTGCACTTGTTTAACAACAGGGAAGAGATTGCTAATGGTCCAAAGCAATTCTTGGTTTATTGAAGTTGACAAGTATGGATTTATTTTTAACTTAAGTAGACCTAACATCTAGTATTATAGTTTAAATAAGTTTTCCGGCTAAAGTCATTTTCGTAAACTAGTCAAAAGGGCCTAATTACACCAGCCACTATATTAGTATTATTTATTTATTATATATTCTTTTTTATTTCATTTTATTTTAAAAATTTATTTACTTATTTCATTTTTTGGTAAAATATTTTCATACTGTGTAGTGGCTACTGCCACTAATACAGCAGGGGTGGATTGAGGCCGTCTTCTGGGTCTTCCGGAAGACAGTCAGATTTTCAAGTTTACATTGACAGGTATCTAACTTTTTCTGTCAGAAGACGGTCAAAAATAAAGAATAGATCAACAAAGATTATTTGAAAGACTATCAGAAAATATCTCTGGATCTGCCCCTGTGCACAGTGTACAGAAGTTGTGAATATATACCACATCCACAAGCTGAATGTATTAGAGAAGCCACATAACAATTAACACTGCCTGGAGGTATTCCCATTGCAGTAGATAATTTACAGGCTGTTAAATAAACACTAGCACCACTGAAAATCAAAGACAGACCACAAAAATTTTCTAAATTTTTCTCAATTGCTGGTCTCTGTTTCTGCTTTAGATTTCTAAATGTCTAGACTTTGGTGACTGGAAGGTCAAATAGGTTTATTAAAGGCATTTGGGAAAGACAGGATATAATGTAAACTTAATTCACAAACACTTGCTGGTCTCTGATATGGCTACATTGTTCCAAGTGGTTAAGTGATTGCTATCCTCAGGATATCTAATTTTAGCCAATAGATAGTGTTACCCAGCCTTGATTGCCATTTGGTACAAAAAATGTCTTCACATACTTTTAACAGACCAATGCTGTCAAGTATGAAGAAAGTCATAATGGGATGAACCAGAACAGGAAACCTTTATGAAGTAAAGGGGTGTTTTTTTTTCTTTTTCATTTCTTTAGCAGCTTTACCCTCTTGGACCCTGGACACCCAAAATTCAATAAATATGCTATTTAATTATGAACACTATGTAAAACTTACCCCATTTCTTCTGTATCCAGGGGATCCTTGGACAGCAAGATGGTAAGGGCAGGAATGTTCCTATTAACTTTTAACCTAAAACATGATATATGATAACACTAACCAAATATAAAATTCTGAATATGAATTAATTTTGAAATTATGCCAAAAATGGCAAAATGTTTAGTTTGTTATATTGGAATATTTCAAATAACTTCAATGGATGTTAACTATGTCATAAGACTGAAAGAAAGTTTCATCTTGTATGGATTCATATAGACAGACATCAGGCAGAGATACTCTATAAATAGATTTCTTTTTCATACAAATTAAATGTCTGGCCAAAATTGAGCCCAACTTGGAATACTTTTATCTTTCAACTGACTGTGCACTGTCTCTGCCTCTCTCTCTCTCTCTCTCTCTCTCTCTCTCTCTCTCTCTCTCTCTTTTCGGGCCAAGCCAGTTAAAAGTTATAATTTTCACATAATTTTGAAAAAAAAAAGGTTCATCTAAGGTCGCATTCAGAACAGATGATCCACGAATCTGCTGGTCCACGATTCAAATATGGCAGACCCTACATGAAAGCAAGACCACCTAATCCCTTAATGGTCTCCCTGCCTCCACATGCGCCTTCCATGCAGGGGCCTAGCAATTAAACCTCAAAGCCAAATTTAATCCGTGTGGAGGTGGGGAGACCTTTAAAGGATTAGGGGGTTTTGCTTTCATATTTGACCCGCAGAACAGTAGAGCTGAGAATCATATGTCCTGAATGCGACCTAATAATGATCAGAATATAGAGTACCTGTCCAGTCCCTCCAGCTTGGGCTCCCAGTATTCTTCTATCCTGAAACCAGAGAAATACCATAATAATTCATTAAATTTGAAAAACGTGAATCTGTTATTTCTCCCTAATTTGTTTTGCAAGTTTCAATTCAAATCAAAACTCGTAATTAAGAAACTGAAGCTTCTAAAAGTTACTTAGCTTAAAAAGCAAAATGTTGTATTTGAATATAGTCTTAATATTGGAAAAGTAAAATACAAGAAAAAATGAGAGATTTGCTATTTTCCAGTACATTTACATTTATATAGCTATGAAACCAAAATTATTTGGAGACTAGCCATGAAACCAAAATTATTTGGAGACAATCAAACTTTATGGTTGTCTCGAAATAATTTTGGTTTTATAGCTATATATGCAATACATATTTTACAAATGATAAATTTCTCCAAATAAAATAATTGTATTTTTTTAAAAAAGTAATAACAATGATAAAAGATTAATGACAGTTAACACTCAACTCACCTTTTGTACCTGGCCCTTGTAATTTGATGAAGACCCTGGAAGATATAAATATACATTTTGTCAATTTTTGTACACAATAGATACAACTTAAGCACAAATTAAAGTAAATTATAATCATATGTAAGTATCTGAGTTTGTATTTGACAAGTATAGGGAGATTAAAACAGCTTTACAAACCTTCAACTTTTTTCAATCATAACTCCCCCCACCCACCCACCCACCCACCCATTTTTCAATGACATCAGTCATAAGTGTACTACATGTAGTAGAAACCGAGGTGGGCAGGGTGGGGGTGGAGGTGGTTGTGGGGGGATGACCAACCCCCATCCCCACTGCTCACAATTTCCCCCAACTGAAAAGATTCCGAGTAATAACCACATAATGCGTTAATCTGTACATTACATGCAGTACTGCTACAACTAAAAATTTCAGTTGAATACTTACTTTTACTTTTCTCTTCATTATCTCTGCACAAGAGATAACTTTGGTTGTACCAGTCCCTGCACCATTCCATGTTATCTGCTTCACTTCTGGGTCCTTCAATAATAAATTTAATCATGAATCCACCAGAACTCATAGAATATATGCACCTGGGTATATTATTTTATCTCTTGTACGTACATAGAGTCACTATCATGTCTGTGTGTGTGTGTGTGTGTTGTGTGGGCATGCATGCATGCTTGTGTGTGTGTGTGTGTGTGTGTGTGTTTCAGATGCATGGTGACAGCGGGCACAACAATAAGGCTGAGTTCACATGCAAAATCTATTTTCTAAAAATCTAAAAATCTATTTGCGGTATCTTGTGATCACGGTCTGTGCCCTGAGATTTTAGAAAATAAATTTTTCATGTGAACACAGCCTAAGTGTAGACTAATAAATCAAAGTAATTTAAGTGTCATATATATACGCTGGGTACAAGTATTAGGAAATTGGTTGGTTTTTGTTTCATTTTACCAGTTACTGGTACATGTTTCCTCTTTTTCTTTGGAGGGAAGAAGGGATGAAGAAGAGCTGGGTTGGGGGGGGGGGGGGGGCACATGGCCCACTGCATATGCCAATCCCTCTGTAAACGCCACATTCAGCCCATACCCTTAAATGTACCTTAAACTTTTTCATTGCAAAGCCCAGTAGGTTTTTTATCTTGCTCCCTGGAGACACTTTCATGTGTATGACACTTGGGTGGTAGCTGTAATTGTCCAGTTCATCCACCTCAACAACTGACCCTTTCTCATAGTGCTCCACTGGAATTTGAAATATGTCACTAAATTATAAAGGTGACCCAATGAAAATAACCATCAATCATGGTTTACGATCGATGTACGTGCTAGTCTGAATATTTTACATTTGTATCTAGTATTATAATTTTAACGGTGTTCCCCTACAACATTAGCACATCAGCGACTCTCTGTCTCACTGTACATCATAGTCATCCAGGCCCGTAGCCAGCAATTTCAAGGGGGGGGGTCTTTTTCTGAAAAAGTGTACCTAGGTCAAATTTTACCCAGAGTGGACCTTTTTCCTGCAAAAAGGGGGGTTCTTTCGAACCCCCGAACCCCCCTGGCTACGGGCCTGCATCATCAACAAATCACATACAATACAGGGTGCAGCTGCTGCTGTGTGTATCTGTGTGTGTGACTGTGAGAGAGAGAGAGAGAGAGAGAGAGAGAGAGAGGGAGAGAGAGAGAGAGAGAGCAATGAAACTTACTCCCAAAGTTCTTGTCAATGTTGACTGAATCAAAGGAAAATATAATCAGAGAGAAAAGCGGTCAGCCTAAGTAGCACGGCATTGCACTCAACTGTCTCCAACTAAGCAGGTGCCATCTTGTACCCACAATCCTTTGAGACCCTCAAATTTGAGGATACTTCCGCATGCGTTACATCGAAACCAACAGAGGGCAGCACTATGCAGCAATATGCGTGCAAGACGCGCATACAGGAGAAAAAAGTAAATCAAAATTGGACTCTTGGGTTTAAAAAACAATAAATAGGTAAATGAATGAACATGAGGAAAAAAAAGAAAAAGACTGACTTTTGACGACGTTTACTAGCTCATTCTTGACTCATTGAAAAGTAGCGATAGTCCGAAGGTTCAATAGTCCGAAGGTTCATTGGTCCGAATGTTAACTATAGAACCTTCGGACCAATGAACCCTTAAGTAAAAAACCGATGAAAATGTTACCACTTTTCGGACCAATGAACCTTCGGACCAATGAACCTTCGGACTATCGAGACGCCCCCTTTTCGAAAGCTAGCTGATTACATGCATGCACAGGTACCTCAAAGTACAAATACTAAGTCTTTATACACGTATTGTCAATATAGAAAAATAAGCGGAAAATTAAATAACCATAAGGGGCAAGGGGGAAAGATTAAATAAAGCTGATTTTGTCGAAATGCACACACGTACTACCCTGGTGCCTCACCAACACTGATATAAAATGTTGCTGCACATATGTGTTTTCAAAACTAGATGGACTCAAGAAAAAAGAGTGAGTTCATAAACAGTACTGTATTCCTTAAAGCCCAAAGGACTGCAAACATAAACGTTTTGATACCAAGGCAATAAAGTAATATGTTTTTATAAGTGTTTTTCATGGAAGGGGGTATCAAATAAGGAACCAGATAAACGAAATGCATGAGCGACGAAAGTTCATGGATGTCCTACATGTAAGCCTATATTGGGTAGAAAAAGCCACCCCCAACATTCAGAAATACTGGGTAGAGGGAAACATGTAGTGTGTGGAGCAATCACTACTACCTCTCTAAAACTCAGGTTAGCATTACCCTCTACCAGGGTGGCAGATATTACCAGTATATGGAGATATGTGGAAAATGTAAAATGTGCCTATAACAGGGGCGGATCCAGAGATATTTTCTGACAGTCTTCCAAATTATCTTTGTTGATCCATCCTCATTTTTGACCGTCTTCCGACAGAAAAAGTTAGATACCCGTCTATACGTCTATATAAAATCTTGAAAAGACTTGAAATTCTGACCGTCTTCCGGAAGACCCAGAAGACGGCCTAAATCCTCCCCTGTATAATATCTGCCACCCTGGTAGAGGGTAGGTTGACGTAGAGCATATACTGGTTAGAGCAAGGGCGGATCCAGGATTATTTGAAGGAGGATCCGCGGATGCAAAGCCTCCTCCCCCCCCCCCCCCCTCGCCCTCACTTGGCGTGGGGTTCGGGGCCCGCTAAAGGGCCCCGGAAAATTTTGGTAATTTAGAGGGCGAACGGTGCCATTTGGTACGGTGTAGAACTATGATTCAGCAAGTTAAAATTCTAATTTCAAGAGGGGACCAGAAATCGAGGGGGGGGGGGGGGGATCCGCCGATGCAAAGCCTCCCTTCCCCCCTTACTTGGCGTGGGGTTCGGGGCCCGCTAAAGGGGCCCGAAAATTTTTGGTATTTTAGAGGGCGAACGGTGCCATTTGGTACGGTGTAGAACTATGATTCAGCTAGTCAAAATTCTAATATCAAGAGGGAACCAGAAATCGAGGGGGGTTGGGGGTCAGGACCACCCTGACCCCCCTAAATCCGCCACTGTTAGAGGAAGATCGCCACCAGACTCCGAAACTCAGGGTGAATTTGTGCCTTGATGAGAACAGCTTCATTTTATGCTCTGTTTAACACGCACAGGTAAACCAAATAAAAATTCACCCAGAACATTAATTTAACATCCCGGTATATTGTTCACTCAGAGGAAGCAATAATTAAGACAAGGTTCTGAAAATGGCGTCGGGACTCCATGCTGCACTGGCGTTGTGTGTATTGTGGTGTGGGGGAGTACATGGATACCCGTCATGGCCTCGGCAAGTCATCAGTTTTCATTTCATAATAATTTCTTTTATTTCTTCTTTCGTTTTAGTTGTTTAAAGGGATAACAGTTTTTCTTCATTTGAGATTTAAAATTCCACAATAATGCATTGTAAATAACACATGGGAATATAATTAATTCCATTTTACCACCAAAATAGCGGTTAACGCAATTATTCTGAAATCTATGCTTGCCATCGAACCTCGTGTACCTCCATAGATGGCTTCCCTCCGCAATAAACATATTAAGAGAATGTTACAAAAACACACTTTAAAAAACATTGACTTACTTTGGATGATGTAGAAATTAATTCATTAACCATCGTTATGAAAAATCGCAGTTCAACCCGGGAAAATTCATTTTATGACACTTTTCCCAATAGAATGAAGAATTGTTATTCCTTTAAGGATCCATATGGATGAGCCTCGAGGGTCCGTCTATCCTGCCCTTTTCTCTATTAGGACCTTGTTTCACACACATACACACACACACACATAAAAAAATGCGACCGAAACGAGGCTAAACCAACCGAAATGTTCAGTCCCTGTAGAGAGTATTCAGTGGCGGATTTAGAGGGTTCACTTTCCGTCCCAGTCTCAAAAAAGCAAAATGTCCTCATTCTTCCTTTTGTTTACCCCCCCCCCCCCCCCCCACACACACACACACACACACCTTGGCCAAATCCTGAATTAGCTGTTAAAATGCGCTCTTCCAGGGTGACCAGCTTTGAAAGTCTAATAAAATTTAAAACATTCATTTTAAATACACATGTACGTGGGAATGGGATTGCGCAGAATGCCGCGAATAGTTTGTAGCAGATAGACAGGTGAGTAAGGTGTGAAGTTAGGCAGGTAGGCAAGAAATGCTAATATTAGCGGAGAAAAAGCCGTTTTGGTTCAATGTTTATACCATACGTGTATAGAGTCTTAAAAGTTGGCATCATAATAAGAGACAAAGCGTAGGATTTTAAACAAACGGGGTTTTGTATTAGTGTACAACTAGGTTGAACTATGTAAGGACATGTATACTTTTTTTGTAATTGTAAAGAGATTAATAATTATGCCATGAATAAAAGGCGTCAAAATAATTTAATTTGTTGATACCAGCCGAACCTCCCAACCGACAGTAGTCAAACATCTTGATTCGCGCGCAAACCGAAAATCAGTTCCTGAAGCGATGGCGGAATTTTTTTTAAAGCTCAAGAAATACCCTAGGGAAATTATATAGTATGAGTTTTTCGCTGGAAAATTTGACTCTATGAACCTGTCCTTACAATAGTTGAAACCGCAATGAACCCCTTTTCGTTTTAATGAAGCGTCTCCTTTCAATTTTCAGTTATTCAGTCCGATGGAATGAGACGACGGAATTTGTGACCTTCAATGCAGGTCTGACCGAGACTGATGTCCCAGAGTAAGCTTTCCAATTTTTCTTTAAGATAATGGCTAATTTCATGAGGCCTATTGTTATACTTAAAATTGTACACTACGCGTTTGAAAATGTCCTTAAGTTGCAGATCTTTTCTTAATGTATAAATAGCTAACAAAAATTTCGCCTTTCTCATGTGTCATTCATTTTCCATCACTCAGGTATGCAACTCGTCGCGAGGCGTTCCTTTTGAAACTGTCCAACAACGAGATCCCAGGCGATGTCGTCTGCTTGCAAGAGATATGGAAACCAGACGACGTGGCAGCCGTCGTCCAAGCAGCCAAACCAAATTTCCCTCATTCCTTCAGTGCAATGCACGCGGCTGATGGCAAATTTGCTCCAAAACCTACGTCACCTGCTTGTAAAGCTGCGAAGGTAATATGCGATCAGCCTCAGATCCGCGCACCTCTTCAAAACGTTTCTGAAATTTGCATCTGTGTCCAGCACCCTCTGAGGATGACGCAAAGGTCGAGCTTTTTTCCACGAATATTGTTAAGGTCGCTAAATTATGAAGAGGTTAAAACAAACCATTTAAAACTTGTTTTTGACAAATAAACTACTTCATTACTTCATTACTTCATTTTTTTTAGATCTACCCGATGCTCCACTGTATTACGACCCAGTGCCTTAGCGACAGTGGTGCTGAAATGGACGAGTGCATCTCCAAGAATTGCAAGTCCGTGATAAACGAGGTACCTCAGGATTGTCTTAGCTGCATCGCCGACAAGCAGTCAACGAGAGCAGCAACCGACCTAGCAGCCATAGTGGAGCGCTTACAGCAGTGCTTGACAACCTCGTGGCACACGACATTCGGTCTCCTGGTTCTCAGCAAGAGGCCACTGTTTGACCCGGAAGTAATAAATTTCCACTATGGGACTTTTGTTTTAGTTGCGAGGGGATACATTCGGGCGAAGGTGGGCAATGGGTTATTCACTCTTATGTTACGTTATTCTATTTTTTTTCCATTTTTTAATTTTATTCTTAATTTCATTATTTATGTATTTTATGACTGTCTTTGTTGAAGTTTTAATTGAATTAATTTAATTGCTCTTTTATCTGTCTATCACTGAGAATTGAATGGGTTTAATCATTATTTCATTTAGGTAAGTATTTTCAAAAAAGGTCGATTATCTATCCTAGAAGGAAAATGCATTTAAGGGGGCACAGCGATCTAAGATCTAAAGTTCATTAAGGAGCTGAGCC